ATTGACGATCATTCCGCCGCACTGCGGCAGAGTGTGGCGCACTCTGCCGCACTCCGGCGCACTCTGCCACACTCTGGCGCACTCTGCCACACTCCGGCGCACTGTGGCGAAGTGTGGCAGAGTGCGCCGCAGTCCGGCGACTTTTTTGACGAATTATGAGCGGTATTGTATAATCGCTGTAAAAAATTTAATAAGCTCTCGAAGAATTGTCAAAATTTGCGACCCATACTTTCTGACAAGGCCAAGTTTCAAAATTGTTCTAAATTTCTATAACAACCCTCGGAAGGGTCCAAGTAATGGATGGATAGAGCAAACCCTACAGGAAACAGCACAACTTTTTTCTACTTTCCAGAGCTCGTCATAATTTTTGTATAGATTTTCTGATAGAACTACCGAATTTTAGCAGGCTCGTCTCAGACACAAATGCATCAAACACCAGTAAATCTTCGGGTTTTTAAATTGACAAAGATGGATTATGGTTTGACACAAATTTTACAAAGCAAATGAGCATTTACCTCTTCAGATTAGCATCTTTCGAAAATTCTGGGTTTAGCCTGGGGCGCCTTGGAAAACCTGAATCATGATTGTTCTATTCCGGAAAACTCGATGAATCGGGAACAAAAAACAGCCGGTAAAAGGAGGAGAAAAAGCTGCGTCGAATGACACCCGAGTTGCTTGTCGGTTGTTGTTCTGTGAGTTTTGAGCTGACCAAATATGGAATTTGATGGCACTGAAAATTGATTCCAGAAAGTCTAAGTACCAAGCTAAGGAAAGGAAAAAAGTTGGGTGTGGTGCAAGAGAAACGATAGCTGGCAATAAGGGGCGCGCGGCGGAGGGGTCTGTCAATAGCCTATGCACGCTAGGCGCCGCCCATCCACGGCGGACGAGTCTACAATCAACTACAGTAGCTCGTACGAATCGCATTCGTCCACGTTATCTTTTCGAATCGCATTCGTCCACGTTATTCTAGAGAATCATTAATCAATTGGATCATAGTAACTCTATGATTATCTGATGCTTTGGATCTGGCTGATTTATGGAGATAGTCATGTCATGTGTGAAACATGAATTCTGCCATAATGTGCCAGAAGAAGCACTCTTAACTCCTTCTATTCCCTACATTCTTGATAAATTGTTTATTACATTGTAATGAATGTTTAATACAAATGCATATTTACTGATATTGTAAAATAAAACTATACAAGAGTAGTCCTATGCTATGATAAAATAAATATGGAGAGAAACAATCAATCACATATAAGAAGCAAGATCAAAGAGAAAGAATGAAGGAAGAATAAGGAAGAATAACTCAGATAAGAAAATTATTGCTGCTGCGATGTACTATTGAAGACAAGGACTTAACTGATTAAGTCATGATGGTGTTATCTGGGTCATATTCAACAATTTGGCCTAGTTCATGTGACCTACGGGAGCAGTATGCATCTTTATTCTGTTAAATGGCCCTAGGGAAACAGAGGTCTTTGACAGTGATAAGCACGTCAATATAAGGAACCGGCAAATGAGTAGGCCGCACCAAAATACCGGAATGCTACCCTTTCAACTGAATTTATTGACTTATGCAGCCTTGCTGCAGCAAGCACAGCAGCAAACTTCACGGGTTCTTCAGAATTATATCAATGGTAAGTATGGAACCATACAAATCTTGGTTTACATTACATAGTAGATGCACGACCTGACGCTCCATCAGCTCCACCGTAGTCCTCAAGAAGGGAAGAGCAGCAGCAATCCAGAAGCGAAGAAGAGTCCCAGTCATCGAGAAGACAAGAAGAATCGCGGCCACCGAGAAGGCAACCTCATCGACGTTGTGGATTCAACTTAGAAGCGCCAAAGTTCCCTGCACAGTAGATCAAAGTCAACAAGGAAAACACCCGATCCTGCGCTATGCAATACCAGGTCACTTCTATGACAAAACAACTCTATTGAAGCATTTATTCAAGCATAAACATACTTAGGAAGTCCGTTGTGCTACACATTCCATCATCTTCGCACGAACTCCACCTATGAAGTATACCGATGTACGGGATGCAAATGCATGGGAACAAACACAATGATAGCTGTAGGAGTTACTGTGAAAATGAAGATGTACATTAATATTAATGTCAAGGCGATCAACAACGAGTTCCTGGGAGATCCATCTGCCTTGTCGCACGACTGCCTACCCGCGAAGATCGCACAGGATAAAGTGGAAAGACTGGTGTATAAGGAGTGCGAAAACATCAGAAAGGACAAGAGACGTGTGGGGACAACAACGCGAAAGGCATGGCAAGAAATAGAGAATCACATAGAAGAAAACGAGGGCGAGAACGAGACGCAGAAGCTCGACATGCTTCACTACTTCCACAGAGATGGCTACGAGTCAAGGCGCAGCACCATAAAAAGGTATTGACAGAATCATGATAATAAAAATAGAAAGAAGCTTTAGGGCCATTAAAAGCCTAGACGATAAAAGCTGCACTATGGATCACGTACCTCGCATATACTCCCACTTCTCCGATGGCGAAAGATTCCTGCAGTCCCAGACTCCAGATCTGCATATGTATTACTCAACCACAACCATCGAAGTAGGCTACTAAACAACTTTGTGATACCCCTAGCAAATATGATTGTAGAAGGCGCCGAGGTTTGGGCTGTACGCACTTGTAGCGGACGGCGTGCACGATCTCCAGCCCGATGCAACAGTCAAGTGTGGACAGCTCTACACTGTGCACGGAGTATGCAACGACACCATGGACGCTCCCCTCCTGTATGCCATCACCACTACCAAGAACGAGAGACGTACGAGTTGATATTCGCTCAACTGAAAGAAGAACTGCAGAGATCAGGCCGCTTGGATAGATTGCGCGTGGTATTGGACTTCGAAAGAGCTTCGATAGGTGCTCGATAGGTCTTTCTGCAGTAATTCATAAACATGATGTTGTTGTCACTCTTGTAAATAATCCCTATTACTCAATATTTTTGATTTGCACAAGCACTTTTCTTAATAAAAAGTATTCATTGACAACAACATCACTATACATAAGCATAGAAATACAAACAAACAAAAAAAAACAACCGTTTCGTTCCTACCCTTAGACGGTTACGATATAAGGATAAGGAACAGCCCTCCCCGGAACTCATCAGTAAGGAAGGAGGGCTATAGAAATAAGAAATCATAAATAATAACAAAAACGAAACATACATGCAAAGAAAATAAACACATCAAAAGAACTCACCATATCACTGAATGCTGGTGTCGGTCAGAGATAGTTCCTAAATGCAGAATGATAACTGTACATACACGAATTGTATCAGATAATAATGAAAAAAGAACATAAGGAACAAAAAGAAATGACAATGAACAATAACAAACAAAAGAACAGCAATTACTCACCATTGTGGCAGGATTGGAGGCTGTTGGTGGATATCGATCCTAAAAATCAACAATATCGGCGTGATGTGAACAAAAGGCGATATCGCACACATATTCACGAACAACACGTCAAAAACCTACGCAAAAGAGTTAAATTCTATTATAAAGGGAAAAAACATGTAAGGGAAGACAATTACGATGAAGAACATAAGGAAAAACAAAAAAACACAGCAAATATGAGAAAATAGTAAAATACTATGAATGTGGGCGTTGAATGAGACTGAAGTAGGCCCGCTCATTTTCAAAAATCTCCGTAGCAGCGTCCTTTAACACACGCAACGCTCAACCCATGCGTGCGTACGGGTTCTCGCGTGTGGGCGGGGCTTCGTGCGCGCTGTGGCGGCTGGCAACTACCAGCTGGCGCGGGCTATCGTTTCTCTTGCCCGCCACCCAAAAAAGTTACTCTGTGTCCTACAAAGTTTGCTCTATCTATCTGTCACTTGTGCTCTTCGGAGAACAGGTACAAGAATTTAGGAAAATAGCCGAACTTGACTATGGCAAAAAGCATGAGTCGCAGATTCTGGTAATTTTTCGAGAGCTCGATGAATATTATGCAATGAAATTACAACCATTAGAAAGAGGATGAAATGTTGCATCGAATGCTCTTAAGATCTCCTGAAAATCTTGATTCCATGAAATGTGGCGTGCATTTGAAAAAAGCGACATTACTTTCGGAACGACCCAATATTATCATTTGCAAGAATAAAAAAATATTTGCACACTTTTATAACTCATGTAACAAACTTTCAAAAATTTCACGACACATTCTCCCTCCCCCCTCCCTTTATGCAATAGGCGTGCACATCTAACAAAGCATAGACTTAAGTTGTAGCACAATAAGTTGGAGAAAACTTATCGGTTTTCTTTTTTGATTTCTCCACCTATAAATTTCTTTTTCGAAGAAATAGGAATTAACAATAAAATTCTGATGGGCATGATGAATCTACACACTGTATTTTTCTGCTTAAATGTCTATCAATATTATTTTGTAGGCCATCAAGAAAGCCATTCTTGAAGCTGGCGTTCACAATGAGAAGGTGAATATTGTGCAAGCGGATGTTACCGACGCTCATGGAAGAAAGAGGGTTATCTCAAGCCTAGTCCGGAAATTCGGTCGTTTGGATATCTTGGTAAGATATTTTTTTAAGTTTCAAAATGTACATCCTTCTAACTGAGTCATAAATTAGCTTTACTTGTATTTATATCGCGCAAAAAACAAAAACAAAAAATAACCGCTGACTTTATCGAGTAGGGTTAGGTCTCAGGTAAACAACGCCGACGGTACATTTCTTAGCCCCGATGGTTCAGCTGGACTGAAGGCTAGCACCGATCTCCTTAAAAAGGCCATGGATGTGAATGTATACAGATAGATTATTTTGTAAAAATGATATAATTCATGACTTGAGCTCTAGTGTTGTTGAACTGATCCAGTTAGCACGTCCATATTTGGTATCGTCAAAGGGCGAATTGTAAATGTCTCCAGCATTGCCGGGTTGCCAACAGCGGTAAGCGGCACTTCAAAATTACTGTAAACTGTCGTGTTTAGTACGCAAAAATACCGTATTACGCGATGTCGAAGGCAGCTTTGGATCAGATGATGCGAGCTGTGGCAATCGAACTTATTGCTGAAGGAGTGCGGGTAAATAATGTAAGGTAAAAACGGATTTTATGCACCAATGGATTGAGGAATGTTTGTTAATTTTGATCAATTCAGTCCCGGTGGAGTTATGGCAAATATTGCACAAAATAGCGGAGTATCTGATGAAGTTGCAGCAAAGGTAAGAGTTTATGGTAATCTATGTTAACTCAATTTATCCTTTTTTTAGTTTTACTCTACTTATGCTAGAAACCCATTCGAAGTTCCTAACGGCAGAATAGCCCAGCCGTTAGAAATCGCAACCGTTATCGCTTTTCTGGCAGATAGAAGCCAATCTTCTTACATCGTCGGCCAAACAATCGTCGCCGATGGTGGCAACTCGATTGTTCTAGCTTTAAATGCTGATGTACCCGTGAAGGAGACAACACAGTTCTAAATGAATAAAAATCTCATGAACTGCAATTATCCAGCAAGAATGGTTCAAATCTGGGCATAAAAACTCTCACTTCTCTATTTATAAAAAAGTACGTGAAATTCTCTAATTTCTGTTTCAGTCGAAAAGCTGCTTTTCTTTTCTGACATAATGTGTTAGTTGTCCTTTGAGGGTGGAAATCACTAAAGAAATTACTATCGTAAACTAGTTATTAGATTTTTGCCAACTAAACCAGCAAACGTAGTACAGTACGTAGGTATATTGCTCACAAGGGAATGGTCAGAAGTCGAAGTGGCCAAACCAAACAAGCTGTATATCATTCGATGTAGTATAAAACGCTGACTTCGAATCTGTCTTCCTTACTTGCTTATCGCTTTTGTGGACGAAGCTACAAGCGGTTTTATTGTGAAAAATCATACTTAAAAACAGAAACTGAGCACATTGTCGCACTTTTAGCTCAGATTCTGGCTTTGAAAATTTTAAGTAAGCTAGCTGCATGTTTTGACACAGCATTAAGGCGAACGTGGCCCTGTACGGCTAAATTTTCAATTTCATTCATAATTTCTTAGCAAAATAATGTCTTTAATGGCTTATAGCTTCGTCCAGAAAAGCGATAAGCAGGTAAGGAAGACAGATTTAGGGTGAGCGCTTCATACTGCATCTAATGGTATGCAGCTTGTCTGGATTGGCCACTTCGGTTTCTGACCACCCCTTTGTCAGTGATATGAATGTCTATCAACGGCATCAGTCAGTGGCACAAAAATATTTTCACAATTATAGATTATCCATCGGCATTCTAATGGAATTTTAACAGACAAGATTGCATACGGCGGCTTAGCTTTTTGAGCGAATCATTAGAACAAGTCTTAAGGGCGATAACATCTACAAAATGTCAATGTTCACTCACCGTTGAAATTATTCTGTATATGAGATGGTTGATGAGAAAGTTCAATTGAAAAACCGCGCTCTTCAAACAGCAATCAATGATTACAATAGAATTCTCTTAGAAATAGATGTAGAAATAGAAATAATTATATACAAAATGTGGTGCCATAATTTGTTTGAAATGGAAATCAATTTTGCAGTGAACTAATCTAACTTCGTTTCGTTCCTGTCCTTAGACGGAGTAAAGGAGCTCAGAACTCTCCCCGCAACTCATCAGTAAGGAAGGGGAATTCATGAGTCCTGTATATTTCAAAATAGTTTTAGATAAAATTTTTGAATGTTGTTGAAATAGTTGAAGTTTAACAACTTACAGCTTTTATGCTCCGTCTTTTATTATATACAATAATAATGTATGATATATTATACAGGGTGTCCCAAAAAATGTGAACACTGTTTGATCGTTAATAACTCCGTTGCTTTCTTGTCTTTCGCTGAGCTTGAGGCACCATTCTGTGGAGCGAGGTTCAACTTAGATTTGTAGTATGCAGCGAATCACCGATCGCTGTTCGCTACTGTAGGATTACGGTATGAACTTCTAGCATGTGATTTATTGTGAAATATGCCATTTGACAAAATTTGTTCAAAAAATCTGAAAAATCGTGTACTAGGGTTTTCGTGCGCGCTGATTACATTAGAGAACTTTTTACGAGTGTTTTTAGCTTTTTTGACGGTGTAGTCACATTTCTGACGAATGCTAGAAGTTCAGTTATTACGGTTTAAATAGGATAACCTTGGAAAGAAGCATCACAGTAAAATGGAAATTTCAAATTCGAAATTAGCCTCTTCCTTTACCATAGTATAAAAGTTTTTGGGTTGTTTGGTGTTGTTCCGAGGCAGAATATGGCCTACATGGTCTAAAATCTTTGTCGAAGTTCCTACCGTAATGCTACAGTAATGAAGAGCGATCGACGATTCGCTCCATACTGTAAATCTAATTTAAACCTCGCTCTATAGAATTGTGCCTCAAGCTCGGCGAAAGACGCTAAAGCAAGGGAGTTATTAACAATCAAACAGTGTTCACATTTTTTTGAGACACCCTGTATATAGTGATCATATACTATAAACTATAGTAGTGACCATATTGGTAGACTAAAGGATAAAATGAAACATCTTAGTGTTTTTGTAGTTGATTTTATTTATTATAACATTTATCATTTTGATAGACTACTTTACTACTTGCGCACTTTTATATACGATAAAGAATGTGTTTTGAAGCCCATGCTTCCTTCCAAAGGTGTAAATTCGTGCCGATTCAAATCACAAACTTACGTCCTGCTTTGTAGAATCAAAACGCGTAAAGTAAGACCACAGTTTGAATGATTTTCTTGTGGTACTCATTTTCTTGTTTTGTGGTTTTTTTGTTGCTATTGATTTGGCAATATCTCTCAAAGTTGGTTGAAGCATCATCGTTCCGTTCAGTGTCTTTCACCAACTTTCGAAGGTAGCGCACTCTTCCCTGCAAAAGATCTCAAACTGTCCACGAAGAAAGATAGGAGGACGATAATCGACTAGACCCTTGGTCTAGAATCAAACAGTGAAGACTACATGACAAGAGAGTTATTGACAATCAAACAGTAGGCACATTTTTGGGAAACTCATCGATAGCTTTGAAAAAGTAAAAGTTCTGCGCAGAAGGGTATATGCGATTGTGAACCAGTTACCGAATTTGTTATGGCGGTAGTTGCCACAATAGACGACGACCACCGTGAGCTACATTTCTGTAATTTCAGTTTCTTGAGTAGAAACTTGCAAGAATGACGACAGCAGAGAATAAAGTTTCAATCATTTTTTGAACTAAAGTATATAGCTTGCAGGTTTACTTATCGAACAAACCCATGACTTTGCAAACGTTAAAAGTCAAGTCAGAAAATCGAAAAACATAACTTTGAAGAAAAATCCGATCGTAGTTCTCCACATATAGCAACGGTAGAGCACAAAAAATCAAGAATAAAAACACTTTTCGTTATTAGGCCTTTCAACGCTTCTGGCCATGAATTGAAAAGACTAGGCATAGAGTTTCAACAGCTCGCATCACCGAAATTTGTGATTAGCAATTTTTGCTCCAGACCGCTAGAAAGTTGATGATTTTTTTTCTAGAAAATAAAAAAACAAGAATCTAATGAGAATGGAATAACCAGGGTAAAGCGGGGGTACGGCACACGACCGGCGACCCCCCTTGGCCCGGACCCCGGTACGACCCTCCCCCTATTCTCTACCCCCCCCCCCCCTCCCCTCCCTCCACCAATTTTTAGTTGACAATGAAAAGATAACAACATGACTTTATTGCAAATTATTTCAGTTTACAATTAGTCCGAGGCTTTCCATATATATGCAGCAGAGGTCACCGCTTTCTAACTAAGAAAAAACCACTTGAAACAAAACTCCAACGGCATAAAATAGACGACACCTAATTTTCAAATCTATATGTAAAAAAATGTATGAGACCAACAAAATACTTGGGGGTAAAATTGAATCAAAGCCATTTGCTATGGAACAAATCTTCAAGAGCTTCAACTGGAGGACTCCTCCGCCATCGTACACGGAAGCATGAATCACGCAAATGAGAACCGTGAATAAATAACCTGCAAAAAGCAGTTCTAATCCAAGTAACTGAAAATGTTTGCAGCTAAAGATCGTTGAAAACTCCCCTCTCCCCTACCCTGAAAAGTCTTCACCAAAAAGATTTACTATAGAAAATTGACAGAATCTCTATCACCGAAAAGTAAAAAATAATTGGTATGGGGCTAGGGCATGTGGTGGCTAACGATCAGCACGTGCTAGTCGTGCTGCTCGCTACCAGCACGACTAGCACGATCAAAGCCCACTTATTAATCTTCTACATCGAGGGGACCGCCGTTACCTGTGCCACCCTAACTTCCTCTTTAAATTCTGGCTTAGCTTCAAGAAAGTTCAGTGCATATCGCTCTATTGGTTTCAGCTAAAGATGAAAGACCGGTGAATCAAAAAATCTGCATGAACAAAGAAGGTCAAGTGAAAATGACGCACCTGGCTGATGAGCTCAATATACTTTTCATCGAGAGTTTCTTGTCCAAATTACTTTGGAAAATACTTTCACCAGCATTTACATTCTTCGACTCGTCAAACTCGGCTTTATCAGCTCTGCTTTCAGCGATGACAATCTTTGCAGCCGCCACATCTTGCTCATCCTCCAGCGTCGCCATAGCCTAAACTAATTTCTATCTCACATGTTCCGAAAAAAGAAACCTTCCCTTACCCACGTCTTTCTGACTTTTGAGACCTTCGGTAATCTCGATGTTTCCAACATCCAACTCGCCATCGAAGAGATCACTAGAATTTAGGTGCTCCACCAAATAACTACACGGTTGGTAAGTCCGTATGTTATTAGACTGTTTGAAGAACTTTGGTGTGAAGCCAGCCTCATCGATTACCATTTCACCTAACCTACGTTTCTAAAATGTTCTTCTCTATAGTTCTTTCTGAGATCAAACAGAAAATTGTGACATTTCCGAGTCTGCCCAATCTAAATATCGTGCTTTTTATTCAGCGAAATAATGCTGTATGGGAATCTTAACTAGAATTCCAGTCAGAATCGTAAAAGATCACAGTATGTGCACCGGTAAGATTCACTCCTATACCACCACATCGAGTCGAAAGGATAAAACATAAAATCTTCGCATCAGCGTTAAATCTCTCCATCATTGCCTGAAAGATGGCTTTTTAAAGCGAAACCAACCTGTCGCTGCTCTATGCCAGTAGTACCATCCAACCTAAAGTATTGATACCCATGATATGAAAGAAAAGCTTGAAGTACATCTAGCATCCGCGACATTTGCGTAAAAATCAGGCAACGACGTTTATTTACCTATAAGCGACGAAGTAAGCGAGCCAATGATTGCAACTTCCCTGAAAAACCACAGTTTGACAAAAGAAAAGACACTAACTAAAGCCACTTTCAGCCACTTACCACAATCGTACTCAATAAGCCGAAGTTCAGGGAACTGCATCTGGGATGAGACTAGAGCCATATGTGTCAGAGGATGTGCTAAAGACAGGAAGTCTCGCAAAGCCGTGGAAAGTTCTTCATCAATGGGTCGGGTAAAGTTTCCACGTCCAGTGAGTGAGCTCCAAAGCTGCGGTATATCGGCCACCGCTGGACTCACACACACCGAAAATCTGAAATCAGCCTGTTATGACACATGACAATTTATAAACAAATAACGTGTATCTTTTCCTAACCTCATGAGCAAAAAGTAAGATTCTAACCTTGTGAGATCAGTTCAACTGATCAAACAAAAATAAAATTGTAGATGAAAACGTTAACAAATCAATAAAGAGTTGAACAGGTGAGGATAACTTGTCAACAAAAAAAAAGAGAGCTGTTAATTTTGCATCGAAATCAAGGTGAAGCATAAAAGAAAGACTGACAGTGCATAAATGCAAAAAGCGGGAAAAAGTGACAGAGGTGTCCTCTACTAACCGTTTCATTGCATATTCTGTCAAATACATGAATTGTTCGCGAATGTCGCGCGATATCGAGCTACTATCGTCTGAGCGATGCAACTACTGATCTTCGTCCAAACCGATCTAGAAGTACGTCAGTTACCTGAAAAATTTCTTAATTACAAAACATACCTTTGTCAAAACCGCTTTACGAAGCATGGAAACCAGCTGCGTCGAATAGATTGGTCTGTTGACATTCAAAACGCTCAGCAATTCTTTGCAACCGCATACGATTGCTTTCTTCCATACGTTGCAGGACTTCGACCTAACAAAAATATTTTCGCCGTCATCAAATGAAACAGGTGGAACTGAAAATTTACCGGGACTAAATCAGCATATTCTCCAGTGACAATCCGGTGTATAAGCTCGCCGTCGCTTCAGTGGTGGGCTTAGTCGGGCTGCTATTTCTTCAGTGCTTTCGCCCAAGTCATTAAATGCCCTGGAATTATAAAGAGAAAGTGATTGAACATGAGTGGAAGAAAGATAGGAAAAGAGAGTGAGAGAAAAGCGAGAAAAAAAGAGAGAAGCCCAAAAAACTGCTCACAAAACGAGATTTTAGCTCGCAGATTTCAAAGACTCGCATCTCGCGGCTTTGTGTTTTGACAATTTTTCGAGCGCTACCGTAACCCAATATTTTTTGGCCACACTTCCCATCATATGGTTCGCAAAAACCATATGTATCTCCTTCTAAAGAAAAAGATTCGAGGGGAAACAGCTACTACGGAGAGAGAAAGGATGAATCAATAGGATGATATAAAAAAGGCAGCTGTTTGAACTTTTTGAAGGTAAGTTAATGGGGTGCGGCACCCCCCTTTAAAAGCTGCGGCAGCCGCAGCTTTTGAGGGGGGGGGGGTGCCGCACCCCATTAACTATATCAAAAAGACATTTTTAGTAAACATTATTTATATGAATCGATAGCCTAAACCTCGTAGTCTTCATAGGAGTGATTTGAGCCAGATTCGTCTTCTTAGTTCTGAGTAATATTAGGCTGTCTCATAATTAATGCACGTTTTTATTTGCTTGCTTTAACAAAGCAACCAGGCTCAACCCAACAAAGGGTAAGGGGTACTTTTCGATAGAGCAAAGCAAGCTCTACAAGATGGCGCTCATGTCTTTGCGCCAAGCTCCATCAACGGAGAGTTCGAACTCAAAATCTAAAGATATTCAAATGCCCAAAAAATCGAAAAAAATCAGATCTTTGTCCAAATAATTTCTACGGACCTCCCACTCGCTCACATCAATACTATCGATATCTGATATCCATATGTGCGATTGTCGTATTTTTTTCCTTGACTAGAAACTGAGAAAAGAAGAATTTCCCTGATTTTCTCAAAGCAATGGTGAGCCGTTTTTGCACATGTAGTTCTATATTACAAGCCTAGGTAAGCATAACTGTAGGTTTTCAGCCTATTTCGAGCTGTACTTTTCGAGAAATGCCGATTTTAGCACTGAAACTGAAACGAAAAAATCCGAATTCGTTATTTTTCGAAAACCACCGCTTGGAATAGGCTGAAAACCTACAGTTATACTTACCTAGGCTAGTTGTATAGAACTACATATGCAAAAACGGCTCACCATTTCTTTGAGAAAATCAGGGAAATTCTTCTTTTTTCAGTTTTCAGTCAAGAAAAAAAATACGACAATCGCACATATGGATATCAGATATCGATAGTATTGATGTGAGCGAGTGGGAGGTCCGTAGAAATTATTTGGACGAAGATCTGATTTTTTTCGATTTTTTGGGCATTTGAATATCTTTAGATGTTGAGTTCGAACTCTCCGTTGATCGAGCTTGGCACAAAGACATGAGCGCCATCTTGTAGAGCTTGCTTTGCTCTATCGAAAAGTACCCCTTACCCTTTGTTGGGTTGAGTCTGGTTGCTTTGTTAAAGCAAGCAAATAAAAACGTGCATTAATTATGAGACAACCTAATATTTAGGGAAAGCGCAACCATTAAATTTTGAAGATGGGATTTGGCAGTCTCCTAATTCCGTAGCTTGGAGGTTTTTTGAAGTGGGATTTTTCACATAAGGAAAAAAGTGGTAGTGCTTTCTATCGAGTGCAAAAAAAGGTAGCTCACTCACCGTTAAAATGAAGTTAATCATGTTTGAAATTACTGTTCCATACAAGCTTGTTTACCATTCGGAGCCCTCAGAGTTCGCTGAAACTTGGCGCTAGGGGTCATCAGAGATGCTAATTACGATAATGATACTTGTTTAGCGTAATAGGGCCTCTTTCCAGGTGTACGGTAGGTGTACGGTATTGAAAAGTCGGTGTCATTAAATGCGTTTGGATTTTGCAAGATGCATTGCATCATAAAGAAGCACTTATTAGATTTAGTCTAGAAACTATCTACGAACTATCTAACAGTTATTGGAGTTGATTAACTAATAGCTTTTGAGGTGTGCTTTCTTCAAATCAGCTGGTTAGTCAGCTTTCAGTACCCTAGGTCAATACGACCCCCCCCCCCCCTCACCTACCTCCCCCCTTACGACCCCCGGTGTGGCGTGCCGCACCCCTCGCTTTACCCTGGGAATAACTCATGTAAAGATTAGTGCAAAAGTCATGAGACAAAACGCTGTTTTACTCCACAATATCTAAGGGCGTTTGATATAACTTGCAACTAAGAAAGTAAAAGCAAACAATTGCTCAAATTTCTGTAAACAGCCTTCTTTCTTTCAGCACAGTTTGGAATAAATTGTTATTGTTTCAAATCAATCAAATATTTATTATACCTTGCCGCACGAATTGATCAGGCTAAGTATGAACCCGATGCGAAATTTGCGAAGCGGAAATAAGATCTCTTTCCACCACATCACTACTTTAATGGCAAATTTAATTCCTTCTAAATAACCGTAAGAAAATCTTGTCGATGGCGAATTCCAAAGGATGGTCAACGACTAGCTCTCATACATACACAAAGCACTTGAACCTTCATTGCCCAGGGAAGCTGCAAAATATCTTTCCCGGCAATAACTCAAACTGTTGGAGGTGAGAAGAAGTGATCAAGGAAATCCGGATAAGCATCTTTTAGCGCCGCTTATCGGAACTGGCCAAAAAGAGAGCAGAAACAATCAGCTTGCCTAACAAGTTACACATTTTGAAGGGATCGCTAAATAGAATTTTCATTCATATCTCAAAACCTTCTTCACTGAGGTTGCTTTATGTTTGCCGTGCAATAATTCTGTCATATTCAATGCAGACTCTCTATGTCATCTCATCTAGATGCAACTATTGTGATCAAACGCAGCTCCGTCTTTAATTTATGTTCTATTGAGAGCATGAAACAGCAAATTTTACAACTTCCAGATGTGAATTCTCGTGCATACAAATTTCTCCCTTTATTGCATCCATGACAGATGAAAACTTTGTTTCAAACTTTCATTTGTTTTCTCTGTAAAATGTTTGCTCCTTGTAGTAGATCTATCTATACCCTTCCAAAGCTACAGACTCTGTTGCAATTTTTTGCCTTTATATGGTCTATTGTGACTCTCACCATAAACAATAGTAACAAACTCGTGGTTAATAGATTCAGTTAGGTTTCAAATGATTCGAAAACAAGTAAAAGCATGAATGCACAATGTGAAATAGTAATCAGCTTTTAGTATCGGCACACTACTGACAAAGTCCAAATCATATCGTAGGAAAATCTCATTAAAGTGACCAAATGCTCTTTTTTCGACAGTAAATTCCAATCCTCAAGGAAGCACTACTATCATTTCGGTTTCCAGAAACTTGATAAACACAAGTAACTCAAAGAAGTCTCTGAGGAAAGAATTACATGCAAATTTTTCGATTAAATGTTTATTACCTTGTGTGGTTTGTATTTTACTTAACCTTTCACTTTGCTTTGCACTCTAGTTACTTAAGGTTAAACAGAAAAGAAAAACTGCGTTAGAACATAGTTTTATCGTTGTACGCAAAATTCAAA